TTCTAATTACATTGATGTGACTCTTTGGACTCTTCACAAGTCTGGCTGAGGGGTTATCTATTTTGTTTATTTTTTCAAAGAACCAGCTCTTCAATTTTTAAATTTTTTTAGTTTCAATTTCATTGATTTCTGCTCTAATACTTATAATTTCCCTCTGTGATTCTGGTTTGGGCCTGGCTTTTTGTTGTTTCTCCAATATCTTAAGATTCCTCATAAGGTTATTTATTTGAGCTTGTTCTGTTTTCCTAATGTGAACATTGATTGTGATAAGCTTTACTCTTAGGACTGCTTTCATAGTGTCTCAGAGGTTTCGATGAGTTGTAGAGACATTGTCATTAACTTCCAGAAAATTTTTAATTTCTTCTTTGATTTCTTCCATGACCCATTGGTTGTTTAGGTATGCATTGTTAATTTTCCAGATGCATCTACCCTTTTTCTGTGATTTCTTCTGTTGTTGATTTCTATTTCATTGCACAGTGGTCTGATAGTATATATGTGATCATTTCAATTCTTTTTTTATTTTTGGTACCGGGGATTGAACTCAGGACCCTGTGCTTGCGAGGCAGGCACCGGAACCACTGAGCTAAATCCCCGGTCCTTCAATTCTTTTATATTTGTTTAAATAGGCTTTGTGGACTAATATGTGATCTATTTTGGCAAACGTACTATGTACTGCAGAAAAGAATGTATCCTCTGTTTTAGTGGGGTGGAATACTCTGCAGATACCTATTAAGTCCATATGTTCAAGGGTATGGCTCAGCGCTGATATTTCTTTATTGATTTTTTGTTTAGCTGATCTCTTTGTGCAATGGGGTGTTAAGATCCCCTACTATGATTGTGTTAGTGTTTATTTGATCTTTTATGTTCATCAGTATTTGTTTTACGAAGATAGTTGCTCCTGTATTCAGAGCATAAATATTTATAAATGTTATCTGTTCTTGTTGGATTGTTCCTTCAAGTAGTATGTAGTGACCTTCTTTGTCTCTTCTATTTAGTTTTTGCTTGAAGTTCATCATGTCTGATGTTAGAATTGCAATCTCTGCTTGTTTTTTCAGGGTCCTCATACATGAAATATTGTTTTCCACCCTTTAATTTTTTTAGTCTATGAATATATTTTTGTATTATGTTTCTTGAATGCAACATACTATTGGATTCTGTTTTTTGATGCAGTCTGCCAATCTATGTCATTTAATTGGAGAGGTGAGGCCATTAACTTTGAGAGATATTACTGAGATATGTTGATTATTTACTATTGTTGCATTCTTTGTTGGTGACTCCTTTGTTTTTCTTTTCTTGTCATTTTATGTTGCTGTTCATCCATTAACCTTAGTGTTTTGTCTCATCTGTGTTTTTAGTTGTATCAGTTTCATTGTTTCTGTCTAGGATATTCTTGAAAATTTTATGAAGTGCTGGTTTAGGATTCATATATCTTTTGAACTGGTTGTTTTCATGAAATGTCCTAATTTCTTTATCTACTTTAAAGGATAGCTTTGCTGGATAATTTAATCTTGGCTGAAAGTTATTTGCTCTGAGTGCTTGAAATACTTCACTCCAAGCTGTTCTGGCCTTTAAGGTTTGTGTTGAGAAGTGTGCTGTAATTCTAATTGGTTTATCTTATATATGATTTTTTATTTCTCTGCTTTTAAAATTCTGGGGTTTTTGATTGGGTATCTGGCAATTTAATAAGGATAAGCCTTGGTGAGCTTAATTTTTCATCATACTTGGTGTTCTATAAGCATCAGTTGTATTTTAAATTCAATTATATTAGAGAAATTTTCCTCTATGATTTCTATAAATATATTGGTAAATCCATTTGTGTTATCATCTAGCTTTTCTCTAACTCCAATTAGCCTTAGATTGGTCTCCTTAGTGTTGTCTAGTAGCTGCTGGATAGTCTTCTCTTGTTCTCTGTAAGTTTTTTTTTAATGAATTTTTTTCCTTCCTTCCTCCCTTCCTCCCTCCCTCCCTCTCTACCTTCCTTTTTTTTTTTTTTAGTACAGGGAATCAAACTTGGGACCTAGCACTTGTGAGGCAGGCTGTGGAACCACTGGGCTAAATATCGGCCCCTCTTTATGTTTTTTTGTGGCTTCGAGTACTTTGTCATAATTTACCATTTTGCCCGCAATTTTTTTTCTCTTTTTGGTCTTTTGAGATAAGGTCTCGCTATATTGCTATATAGTTCAGGCTGTAATTTTTTTTTTTTAGTTCAGGCTGTCCTTGAACTCACTATGTAGCCTAGTCTGGCCTCAAAATTGAGGTGATCCTCCTTCCTCAGCCTCTCAAGTGCTAGGATTACAGGCATGTGCCACCATGTGGCATATATGCTTGTCCTCAATTTTAAACACTGTCTTCACACTGATCATTTCTGCAGTTTATGAGTTCTACAGTGTTTTATTTTAGGTATTTCTGCCTGACATCTTATTGAGGATTCTATATCCTTGTTGAATCTGTCATTCATGTTTTGAATATGTGGTCAACTCTTTCAGTTTTTCACTTATTTTCCCCGAATTTACCTTGAGTATATTGAGTGATAATACGGTGAATGTTTGGTTCATTTCCTCTTTGAACTCATCTAATTTCTTTATCCCTTTTATAAACTTTTTGTAGAGTTCTCCTACCTGGTATTTATTTTCCTGTCTGTTTGTGCCCTTTACTCTCTTAAGAAGGTCGGGACACATTGAGGGTTTTCTTTTGCCTTGATTCCTCATGCTCCCAGTCTCTGTGGTAACACTTCAGTCCTGAAGTGAACCTCCCCATCTAGGTGTTGGTCTCTTCAATCAGGTGAGTCTATTTGTTGGTTGTCACCTATGTTACCCTGTGCTGAGGAGACCCCAGGAAAGGTCTACTCCCAAGAGGGGCCTAATTCCTAATTCTTTACCCCCACTTGCCTAAGGATAAAAGGAACATTTTTCCTTGCCTCAACAACTTTTACTTGAATTCAGTGGGTCCATTTGTTTTGTTTTGTTTTGTTGATAGTGTCTCACTATGTAGTTCAGGCTTGCCTTGAACTCTCGGTGATCCTCCTGCCTCAGCCACCCAAGTGCTGATCTTACAGGTGTGTGCCACCACTCAGCTATATCTAGTTTTTCTTGATGACTGGAATACACATACCCCAAAAAATCTGAATTGGATTAAATCAGTCATTTCATAATAAGTCATTTCCTCAATATTCCATTTTTTTCATTTGTTTTTATTAAGAATGGAATGGAGGGCTGGGGATTCAGCTCAGTGGTTCTAGCACCTGCCTTCCAAGCACAAGGTCCCGAGTTTGATCCCTGGTAAAAGAGAATGCAGTCTAGTTTTACTTTATTTTCTAGAGTTTTGGAAATTTTAAGTCCAAATAGATGAATCTCTTTTATAGAAAGGATTTTGTCTTTTAACATTTTCAGTGTATTACAGCCAAAAATGAAATTAATAATTATTAACCAAAATTTTTTTCTGTTTTAATTCTGTACTTTCAATTAGTTTTCTATCAACTTTATAGCAGAAAGGGATGAATCTATTTTTACTGAGAAAACAGTTAAAAATTGCTAGCTGTTTTAGAATTCTGGTTATGAGTCTTACCAATTATAAACAATTAAGGGAATTTAACTCTAACTCTGAAGAAAAGATGTTAAGAATAACAGGCATTTCTGAGACCTGCAAGCTGTCACACTAGTGTTACACTTGAATTGGAAATCACCAAAATTTTCTTGATTCCCTAGTCACCAAACAAAACACAAATTTTTTCATATCTTATGTTTTTTGAAGAGAAGAGCTATTATAAGTTGAATTATACTAGGTCCTTTAATAGCCTTTGATTGGATTTCGGATAGTTCTCTGTATCCTATTTTGTAAAACAAATTCCATACATTGAAAAAAATGAAAGAAATATGAAAATATTTTATTTTAATAATTTCCTCAAAATTAATTGATAGTTGACCTGCATTATAAGAAGTACTAAAGGGTTTTTGGTACTGGACATTGAACTCAGGTCCTTACGCTTGTGAGGCAGGCGGTGGAACCACTGAGCTAAATCCCCGGCCCTCTCTTTGACTTTTAAGACCCTTGTTATTATACTGGATCCAGATATCTCTCTCCTAACTTAAAGACAGTTGATTAGCAGTTTAATTCCATCTGTAATCTTAATTCTCCTTTGCAATATAATCTAATGTAGTCAAAGTTTCCAGAGATTTTCATATAGACATCTTGTGGGAGGCATTGTTCAGACCACCACAAGTTCGGTTGAGATTTCATATATGGCCTTATCTCAACCCCTACCTCTTTTTGTTTGTTTTCTTTTTTTGGGTGCCAGGGATTGAACTCTGGACCTTGCTCTTGTGAGGCAGGTGGCGTAACCACTGAGCTAAATGCCCGGCTCTCCCCTTTGGTTTTTTGAGACAGGGTCTTACTATGTAGCTAGGCCAGGCTGGCTTCAAACTCACAATCCTTATCCCTCAGCCACCCAAATGCTGGGTTACTAACAGTCTTATGAATAAATAAAAATCTCTTACCTCAGATAGACCACGCAAACATTTTAAAGGCTTGTTTTTTTAAATCAATACTTCCTCAACAAACTCTAAATACTAGACAAAAGGTTCCCAATGACTAGTAATATTTCAAAAACTATTCTAGGGAATAATAGTGAACTTTCAGGTATTTGTTCTTTAAGTGAAAACATAAAACAAACTCAGCCCTTCTCCAGTATCTATCAATTCTCCTCATCATTTCACAAGAGAACATTTAACACTAAAAAAGATAAAGAATTCTAGAATAATGTGTACTTCTTTAGCTTAATAAAAACCAAATTATATTACCATTGTTTTTCTAATTTTGCTGACCTTTAACCAGTTTTTTTTTTAATGGTAGCAAAGTTTTACTAAATGTAGGAAAAGAAATAGGCTCTGCAGAGTGAGTTTGAGCCAAATAAAAGTAGAAAAAGAAGTACACCCTACAGAGTGAGGGCAGGCCAACCATGTAATAACTAGGCCTTTAAAGAATTACCTTTATGAATTATTTACCTGTTGCAACTATGCCGTTGTCCGCATGTGTCAAGGACTGGGGGCGGCTACGAAGTTTACTTTTGAAAGATCTTGGTCGACGTGGTGATGCAGGTGGCAAAGGAATCTCTGAAGATTGGGCCTTGCTATCTTTAATTGACCAAAGGCGTTCATAGAGCTCCTGCAGCTCTTTATTCTGCTGGGTTTGAAGATTTACCACCTCCTGAATGTGCCTGAATGAAAATTGTGCAGAAAACATTTTAATGGCTCTGGCATGATAAAAATGAGCCAAGAAACACTGCACCAGTACAAATAAAGTTTAATAAGGAATTCATATTAAGCATGATCAGATAGAGTATTTTCACAATTTTAGGATGGGAAATGCCTTCCTAAACATATATTAATCAATCATAAAGAAAAAAATGAACAAATTGTCAATAAATCTCTAAAGTGTTGACACAGTGGGAGATGATGAAACAAAATTAACATCAAATAGTTTAGCAATATTAACTTTTTCTTAGCTCGGCATAGTAGCACATACCTGTAATCCCAGCACTAAGGGAGGTTGACATAGGAGAATCACAAGTTCAAGTCCCATCTAGACAAATTAGCAAGATCCTGTTTCTTTTATGGGGGTGGGGGTGGTTTGAGACAGGGTCTCCCTATGTAGTTCAGGCTGGCCTGGAACTCACTATGTAGCCTAGGCTGGCCTAGAACTCATGGTGATCCTCCTGCCTCAGCCTCCCTAGTGCTTGTGTGACAGATGTGTGCCACCACACCCAGCCGAGATCCTATTTCAAAATAAAAAGGGCCGGGGATGTAGCTTAGTGTGAAGACCCCAGGCTGAATCTACAGTAAGACACACACACACACACACACACACACACACACAGGCTAACAAATTTAAAAAATACAACAATTTATTATAAATTACAAGTTAAAAAAGGAACAAAATATTTGCAATATATACCAATGGCTTAATATTCAGAATATAGACATAGCTCCTGATAATTAAAAAAATAAGGAACTACGTCATAGAAAAAAGGACAAAGAAAATGAAAAGGTGATTCCAAAGAAGAGAAATATAAATAGCAACAAAAATAGCAATAAATATGTGATGATATACAGCCTCACTATTAATCAAAAGAACAAAATATAATAATTTTTTCAGATCAAATCATTATTTTGCCCAGGCTGATCATGAACTTGTGTACCTCCTGCCTCAGCTTCTTCAGTGTCTGGGATTACAGGCACATGTCATTGTGCCCAGCTAATGAAGTATTTCTAATTCACCTTTTTGGCATAAAGTTAAAATATTGGTAATATCCTGTCTCTACTGTTGTTACAATATGAGGAAATAGGCACCTTTCATATATTTTCGTTTGAAATATAAAACGATACAGCTACTTTGGAACACAATTTTAGCAGTATCAGTTTAAAATGTATATACCTATTAACTCAGCAATTCTACTTTCAAGTATTTACCCTACAAAAATACTCATATGAGTATATAAAGATGAATGGATAAAGAACATATGGTATTTGTACATTATGGAATACTACTATGCTATGAAATTGAATAAATCTGAGTCATTAGTAGGAAAATAAATGCATGTTGAATCCATAATGTTAAGTGAAATAAATCAGACACACAAGATTAAATACTGGATGGTTTCTCTTATAACCCAAAGTATAAAAAAATGAAAAAGCAAAATAAAAGACAAGAGGAAACAGGGAGATAGATCCTTTGCAAATGGGAAGGAGACCAAGAGATGGAGGGAGGAATGCAAAAAGAACTAAGATATGTCATGTGTATGTAGCAACTACCTACAATGAATGTATTCACTATGTTCTGCAGACAGGTACTAATAAAAAAAGAAAAAATATAGAAAGATGTTTACTTTAGTATAGTTTATATAAACAAAATATTGGTAAAAACTAAAGTATCTATTAAGGAGGGATTAAAGAAACTTGAGTACCCCCATTCATTTAACAGCATGCAGTCATTTTTTTCCAAAAAGGGAGATCTACACAGATAAGAGTATAGGCCACAATATTAAGTCAAAAAATTGTAGAATAGCATGTATAATTCCAGTTCTGTAAAAGACAGAAACTTTATATTTGTAAATGCATTGAAAAAGGACCAGCAAGTTATATACCAAATAGCTGCCAGTGCTTGCCCCTGAGAAGTGAGACTGTGATAGAAAAAAAGGGGAGATTCTTTGGTTTGATTTTCATTTTATTTTTAAATATTTTCCCATATGTCACTTAAACACATACATACACAAATCCTCAACAGTATTTTATTCTCTTGGGTTCTATGAGATACAAAGAATTCATGTTTCATATTCAAAATAAAGTACTTATAACCATTATAGCCAGGTACAAAACCAATAGTCTTTGGCAACAGTTTAAAAGAATCATTAAAAACAGCAATACTGAGGATGTAGTTCAGAGAGACAGAACTTGTATAGCATGTGTGAGGCCCTGAGTTCAATCCCCAGGCACCAAAAAGAAAAAACAAAACAAAAAAACAAAAAAACAAAAGTAAAAAAAACCAGCACTGGAATACTCATATCACAAATACTAAACAACTTTAATAACTAAGTATCAATGTGTATATAATGCTTACTATGAATAAATATATAGTAAGGTGTATGTAATGTATAGTATACATAATATATAATGTAGTCAAACCTGTATATATACAAGGGGTGACTGAAATATACAGTGAATGTTTAAATAAAATAATCATTACAGTAAAAGTCACATTGCCAAGAAGGATGGCATAAGTGTATTTGACGCAAGGAGGAGTATTTTGAAGATTTGGAGGAAGATTAATGGCAATGTGTCTTTTACTAAAATGAAATTTTAAACTTAAGCATTCATTGTATTTTTTAATCACACCATATATTTAAAGTAAAACATTGACCTTTCAGTGATGAATGTTTAAAGCATACATTCACAAGTGTCTCCCAGACTCCAGTCAAAACACAAAAACAAAAAATCCCCAAAGAAATAAGTTGAAGAGAAAATGGTATTATAATTATCTCTTATTGATATTAGTTTTGGGTTTGGATTTTGTTTTTTTCCTCTGGACAAAGGCTTTAAAACTGGGAAATTTCCATGGATTTTAATCTGCTTTAGTTCTAGAAATATTAAAAAAGAACATCTAAATGGAGCTTTAGCTAAACATGTAAGAATATCTGGCTAAAATCCAGCCTTTTCCATATATTTTTATCTCCTCTGTGACTCTCCCTGCTTTCAAGTTGTTCAAATCCCAGAACAGGAAAGAAATTCTCTAAAGCATAAGGTACATTCAAAAATTGCCAGAGTTGTTTTCAACTTTTCAAAGTAATGGCATAGGGTCATCAATAGGGGGCCAGTAATTAATGTATGAGTATGTATGTATAATGTTATATTACAGAACCATAAAAATAGAAAATATAGATATAGATTAAGATATAGTGAAATTATAAAAGAAAAAGCAAGATAAACGAACAGTGTGTAGAGTAAGTTACTATTTTGGGGAGAACAAACAATAAAATATGCGTTTATTTATTTGTACATATATAGACTAACTCTAGATATACTAGAAACAGGTAGTATTTGTAGCCTCTAAGGAGAAAGACTGGGTGGCTTAGGTGCATTGGTAGACTCAACTGATTACCCATCTGTACAGTACCTTCTGAATTTTGAACCATCGAATGGACTTAGAAAGAATTCAGCAATTTAACACTAATTTATTAAAAAATACAACCTAGTTTATAAAACTAAATACAAAACACCTTCTACATGACAAAACATTACAGTACCACAAAATAATTAGTGAAGGTTGATGACCTCATTCACCAAATAATAAGCTTGATCCTGGAACAATCTAACTTTTCCTAAAGAAGATGAACTATCTCTGACTACATAAATTAGCCATTTAAAAAATCAGACATGTAATAATGTAATAATAATAGTTATAAAGTCTTAATCCAAAAGCCCTGAAGGATGACTGAAAAATTCAGCAAGAAGAATAATTAAATCATATTGGCAAATAATCAATTGTAATTAATCTTCAAACTATGAAAATATTTCATATAAAAGGACTTTAATATTCATAACTGTCTCATATTAGCATGTTTTTTAGATTTCAATCATAAAAAAGTTTTAATCATTAAAAAGTCACCAATCCTAAATTGGCTACCAATCAAATATTAAGTTCTATAAAACCCAAGACAACCAGATTTATAACAGAAGAGAAAGAATTCTTACTTTTCTCTTAATCTTTGAAGCTCCACTTTTAAGTCTTCATCCTCTATTTCTGACTCATCATCACTGCTCATTGGTGAAGATGGAGAATAGAAGAGTGAACTCTGTGTTTGAGCATATGCTTGTTCATGGAGTGGTAAGCACTGATTACTCTCTGGACCAGTTTTTGCCACTGCATTTTCATTTCCAGCAAGGTTGGCTAAAAATTCACTATTAGAACTAAGCTTTTTCCCACTAGTCAATATTTCTCTTTCTTTAAGCAACAGTTTGGATCCAGACTGCATGCTACTTCTCATGGCTGAAATTTCTTCCAATTCTTTTTCTGGGGTCACTGAAGATACATCAGACTCACAAACTGTGCTTAAAGCTAAGAAGCTGTTAATTTGTTTGGGAATTACTTTATCTTCTTTAAAGGTTTTGTGAAGAGTTTGAAACTTTTGAGAAGAAATGGAAGTCTGAAGACTGTGCGTGGTAGAGTCCACTTCTACCAACTGAGACTTTGCAGTTGTAGTAAAGGCTAGTGCTTCTTCACTAGACTGCTTTTCCTTGAATACTGGTCTGTGTTCTATTCCAAAAGATGTTGCTTTCACTGACTGCTGCTGAGGAACTGTAATCACCTGAGATATAAAAAGGTAAAAGTGTCTGGCTCCACCTAATCAAAAGATAAATCTCAAGAAATTTAACATCAATATACAGCATAGACAAGTGGATGATCTGCTATGATGCACATGTATTGGTAGTACTAAAACTGAAAAAGACTATCTTCCCAATAGTCAGTCTGGTATTTGGGCCCCTTGGATAAACAGAGTTGGTTTTATCTTTATCAAAAAGCTCCACAAAGTTGCCAAGATTGCAAAGGACATGAAATTAAGTTTATAAAACAGATCTCCCACCCATCAAAAAATGATGACCATTTCTGTACTGTCTTCTAGCTACTAAAATCCCCATTTCTGTACTTTCCCTTACAGATGACTTCAAAAGGTGAGATGTATGCAAAGTGAACAACTTAAAAATAAAAAGATCTACATTTAAAGTAAATTATCATCTACAGATCAATATTCAAATACTTTTTTTTGTGTGGTAACAGGGATCAAACTCAGGTTCTTGTGCTTGCGAGGCAGGCAATGGAACCACTGAGCTAAATCCCTGGCCCTATTCAAATACTTTTAATTTTTTTTTCTTCAGTGCTGGGCATGGAACCTAGTTTCATATACATAGCTAGGCAAGTGCTCTACCACTGAGATACAGCCCCAGCCCTGCTGTTACCTTTTATAAGGCCTTTGTTAAGTAAGGATTCAACCAAAGACACAAACCTGGAACCGACCCCGCTGAAATGATCCACTCATTGCTTTACATCTATTCAAAGCCCTAGTATCAGCTGTGGACTCCCGTGTCAGAGGAATGGGATCAGGAGCAATTGCTGATCTTATATCTTCTGTTTCCACTGTAAGTTTTGTCAAATTGTAAGCAGAAAAGAAAAAATTGCTTGTTAAGACTAAATTTGTTTACATTACCAAGAATGAAGAAAAGTAGAAAAAGTTTAACTCCTGCTAAACAATTAAAAAGTGTTAATGTAATAAGCAACATTGTATAAGTCCCTAACTAAATTAGACATTGTAAGATTTATCCCGAGACTTAGTATCTATATGAAATGAGTAACTGCAAAATCAAATTAGTTACAAAAGGAAAAAAATAAAATGGCAATGACATTAATGGGAGGATGTCACATACATGGGCTATGTGGAAAAAGTGGCAAGATTTGTATATGAATAAAAAAATAAGTAAATGAAAAGTGATGTTACCTAGTCTATGTTCCTGACTGTAAGCACACTACCTTGACGGACTTTTGATCTCTTGAAAAAGCTGGTTGACTGCCGTAGCCTGTATGCCCAGCTTTTTAATTTGCGAGTCCAGGATTTCTTGCTAATAGGATTTTTGAGACTAGGACAAGTAAAGCTTAGGCCAAAATATCCACCTCCTGTCTGCAGATGAATGGCTCCACCACTTGACACAGCAGCAGGATAGGCCTCTGGATCCCCTGGAAGTGAAGCATCTGGAGACATCTCCTAATGGAGACCAAAAACAAAAGAGAGGGAGGGAGCGGGGGGGGGAGAAAACAAAGTAGTAATAATTTAGGTAACATGGAGAATTTTTTTGGTATACTGGAGTTTCTTATGTGGACTAATCATTAATCAAAAATAGGACACTATGTACATCTGCATTAATGGTACTGTATCAGACTGAGGTGTTCAATTTGTAGTAAAGCTCATTTCTTAAAAAATTAATTTTGAGGACCGGGGATTTAGCTCAGTGGTTTCGCCGCCTACCTCGCAAGTGCAAGGATCTGAGTTTGATCCCTGGTACCAAAAAAAAAATTAATTTTGTGAGACAGGGTCTCACTATGTAGTTCAGCTTGGCCTTGAACTCACAGCAATCCTCCTGCCTCAGCCTCTTGAGTGCTGGGAATACAGGCGTGTGCCACCACGCCTGGCTAAAAATATTATTCAGATACCAGATGAATAAAAGAGCAGAATATTAATCTTCCATGCCAGAATATTTGTCATCATTATGCCAACTCTGAAAACTGAAAATTAAAAATTATTTCCTTCATATGTGCCATTTACTAAAAAGGTTACTGAAATCCCATGCTATTAAAATGAAATGTTTATTTATTCTCATATTATTTAAGAGTTAAAGATGCCTGTTACACACAACAGAAAAACAAAATATCTAAGGCACTTAGAGTGACAGAGAAATAACAGCAAATTAAGTTTCTTACTTTTTGTAAGCACAGAGAAAATTTCAAACGAACTCAAAATTGTTTTAAATTCATTCTCTAAAAACTGGCATCATGAGGTAATGCTGGCTATAAAATCAATCTCTTTTCTTATGTCCTTATACCCAACACCCTTCAAAAAATCCTAGAATTAACATATTTTATTTACTACTTCATAACAAT